GTGGATGCCTCTGCGAATGCTACCTAGTTTATTTAATACTAGAGAACCCGCGCGGCTCAATGAGCCGCATAGTATGAAACATAGCGCCGAACAAAGTGTTAAGCTCATATTCGAGTAATTCTAGTTACATCTTAGAGTTACACTTGTTAGAAACTAATTATAAATATCTGTATTTGCGTCGTCAAGGTTCGCCTACATTATTTCTGCTCTCAGTTTTATACTGATAACTTCTAATAACGATCTGCTTCAGTTCTAGTTAACATGTCGCAACAAAGTTATCACAGCATTGAGAATAAAAATTTTAAAAAACTGTTGCCTCACTGATAACCTGTGTTAAGTAATTTAAGTTGGGCCATTTTATTTCTTTGAATTGAGGCATCCCCTTGATCAAACGAATTTTCTCCGTAGAGAATCCTGAAAAGTGGGGTGATGGTGATATCAACCCTTTCATGTGCTCCATTTTTTACCCACAAACTCGGGGTTACCAACTGGACAGCCATAATCTGCTTTGAATAGGCTAAAGTAACAACACCATTGAAAGTTGCTTAAACGACCCATTTGCGTTTTTTTTTCAATTGAGGTAGAGTGAGTAATTCTAAAGTTTACAATAAAGACATAAGGTCCACCAAGATTTGGTATAATCTAACTTGAATTTATCACAGTCAAGGCATTATTATGGTTTCGTAAATGTTTGAAATATCTCGATCTGTTAGTGTCAGAAGTAAAACATTTCTTGTATGCATTAATTTGATCTGACATTAAGCAAGTTAACTTTACCACCAAGACAACACTATGTGCTTCGTATGTTTTTCACTTCTAAAGTAAGTTGCATAGCAGAACTGGCATATATCTTACCAAGTAAATGTGTATCTGGACGAGTATCTGTTAGAGCAGGCCTATTCTACTCTCCTCATACAGATAAGATATTTTATTATTAATTGTCTCCTCCTACCGTTATAAATATTTCTTATTTGAACTTGAGGCATTTCTGTTCTTCCAACAAAACTGACTAACCTTTTACTAACCTTTTAACTTCGTCTTAATCTACTGAATATTACAATAGCTATTTACATTACAAGTGTAGTAAGAGCGTTTTAACATCACGCAGGTGAATGTCTCTGTCTTAATCTGATATAGAAGCTTGAAATATATTTTACCTAACCCGCCATGTTAAACTTCCCTATCCCAAGCGTGATGTATATAACTTCGTTACTTCTCGAGTGATGTAAAGTTGAAAAAAACTCACTCGGTGATGTAATGAAACCCATTTATAGCTATTTACATTACAAGTGTAGTAAGAGCGTTTTTACATCACGCGGGTGAATGTTGTGCAACGAGCGAATGCGAGTTGCATAATTCACCTAAGTGATGTAAACACGCTCTTGCGTAACGTGTAACGTACAAGATTTTACCTGACCCGAAAATATACAGGGGGTCTAACAGTAAGGTTCTTTTACAAACAAAAGCTAGGTTAGGAAAATTCTTAAATCAACACAATAAAATTGAAGCACACAGCTGATTTCTAGCGTTGAACGTCGATGAGGTATATTTTTTACCTAACCCGCCATGTTAAACTTCCCTCTATCCCAAGCGTGATGTATACAACTCCTTCACAAGTGATGTAAAGTTGAACAACATATAAAACATATTTTATATGAAAAACATATTTCGGGTTAGCTGGAGCGGAACCCGAAAGGATTTTTGAGGTAAGAATATGTCTATACGTTAATCGAGGATGTGAGCTATCATCCTGCCAAATTTCAGCCTGATCCGACAAGTAGTTAGTGCGTGATTGAGCTTCAAACGAACAAACAAACACACAAACTTTCACATTTATAATATTTAGTATGATTAAAGAAAAGAATAGCATTTATATTTAAAAGGAATTACAGAATTTAGTTAGCTGTTTCAACTAAACTGGTTGGTTCTATGATATTCAATACCATTAAAAATTAAAAGATTTACCAACAGAGTGCAGCACTATTATTATTTATTTTTTTATTTTATGACAACAGTTAATTTGAATTAAGCAGCAACAAAAAGCTGTGATACACAATGAAAATTGCAAAGTAGTATTGTTCTATGCATTTTTCTTTTAATTAATAATTTGCGGTATTGTGCGAATGTTTGAAAATTTACTTTCTTCTATTATTTAGGTACAGTGGTAGAACATTATGTCTATTTTAGATTTGTTATAATAAACGCAAAGCATGAGTATAACTGCAATAAGCATTGTATTCGTATACGCCAGCCCCGTACGAAGGACGGGTACTCTGCTAGTTTGTTCATACAGTATATGTAATTTTAGTTAAAAGTGATGATACTATCGGAGTGACGGTTTGAGGCGGTGTCAAGTTGTCGGCTGCATCGACGCTAAACCGCCACCTCTCACGCTCGCGTCTAGGTGTCACCCAGACAAGGTGTCACCTCCTCTCTTTGGAGGTGACGACTAGACGCCTTCGTACATGACAACCTGTCACCTCGCACGCTTGCGCCTAGTTGTCACTCCGACTACCTGTCACCTCATTCAAACGGTGACGGGTAGTCGGGAACGATGCGCGACCACGTGTCACCTCAAAACCTGTCTTAAAAGGTGACGGTTGGTCGGGGTGACTGGTTGTCGAGGTGACACGTAGTCGCTGTCCCTTTGATAGCCTTGGTTATCGGAACTCAGGACGAACGTAGCGGGTAACCAGACACCACAAAAACTTCACAATTCTTCGACGCAAAAACTAAAGCCGGTACGACGAGAGAATGACAGTCCTCACTTCACCTCCCTCACAATTCGAGACGAAGGTTAAATCGCTCGCTGATTGGCCAGTGAGTTACTAAAACCGAAAAAGGTTGAAACTCGTGACAGCGAAGGCAGGCACAAACCGTTGATTCAAGCGCCAAAATCACAAAAAGGTGCCTTACTCACCTTTTTCTCCCGGAGCCTGTCCAAACGTCGTCAAACAACCAACTGACACTGACGTTGTCTGCGGTCTTGGAATTAGAGGTTAGGTACGATGTCAGTTTACAGTTTAGTGTCACGACTAGGCTTCTCCAACAGCCAATATTTGGCTGTTTATTATCGTGGTAATAACAATTTAATATCTCTCTAACAATTTAATCTTTACAAATGTTGGTTGCCCCTGGGTTGGAAGAACTGAGAACAACTTAAACAACAGAGCGTTGGCAGTGGAAGCTTGATGTTAAAATAATATTTAAGTGGGCCCTGTAGAATAAAATTATCCCCAGAAGTCCTTATGGGACGTCCCTGGCACTGTTTTCTTCCAGACTGAAATACCTTTAATAAATACTGAATTTACTCTGCACACTGCCACACTAGACCTAGTGTTGCACTTCAAAGGTGAATCTTTTGCAGTGGCCCTTATTACTCACTATAGATTACCAGATTTCAATTGAATGACTGTTTATGCTAAGAGAAATACCCAGGATACTGATAACTATGGAAATATGTAACAATTCAATTTATTTAACAGTATTTAAATAACTTCTACACTTTAATTTGTTTTGACAACTACTTATCAAATATTTGTGTGTTTGTATTTTATATTACAAGGTTAAACAACAACTGAATTCTGACTTAGAGTGCAACAATCTATTTAAAACCTTTTTCAAGATGATGAACGGACTTATCAAAAGGGAAGTTGTGGCGCGGTTACACACTGATCCCGAATATGTCAAGAGAGGTGTGATATTTACTTTAACATTTGAGATGACCAGTACCAAGCAAATCCTGTTCGTTGGCCAACGAATTAAAAACGAAGGTCGAGTCTCGTAGTCCAACTGATTAAACAGTGTTCTGTTTAATCGCAGTAGTATGTACTAGAATATTGCTTATTATTTTATGGCTAAGAAGGTACTTTGGCGGTTCATCTATTCACAAACTCACACGACCTCAATTAACACCTTCGTATCTAGCCGAACCAGCTGCCTACTCCCACTTTCAATATTATTTAATTTCCCCCAAATATAATAATGACTGTGGCACTCTTAAATAACCTCTAATTTAATATCTCAGCAAAATTGAACAATGACTCTGTCGTGAAATGGTGTAAGTAGAATAATTTACAAGTTACATTCAATACAAATACAAAACCCTATACAATTTAATTAGTCCTATATAATGAGAGAATCACAGTATACTAAACAATGCAGATTGATTTATCAGAAATGGATATTAAAAATATTGGTGAAGACTAGAACCTGAGAACATGTGCTAATATAACAGGAAATAACAACCTATGACAGGAAAATTTTACTCATGTGCGACTGACTGAAAACTAATATATAACAATAAATAACATACACTACTTACAAATTTGGACGTCCAACACAGATGTATACACTGGGAGAGGAAAGGAAAATGTAACTAGGCGGGTTTACCAAAAAACGCGATCGATTTGATTTCGGATGACGAACGTGAAATTTTTCAATGGCAGTTTGTGCTGGTCGGTAAAGCAAACTTTTAACACTTGTTTCGCAAAAACTGATTTATTTTCCACTCGCGTTGCAATTATATCCCTTCGGGACATAGGCTAAACGATTTAAAGAAAATAAAAGATTTGCCCGACCAACACCGCAAAATGAATTTAATTTGCACGATACAAACTTTTACCCGTCTAGTCACAAGGGAAACAGGGAACGAACTAGGTGGACGAGTGTCCCCGTGGCTGGGCCCCTACCCCTTCCACTTGTGTGGTTAGCATTGTGGGTATGGTCTTTCTATTGTCTAATCAGCTGACTATTTGTTCGCGTCTACTACATTAATTCGTTGTATAATACGACGAATCGGTACAATGTTACACCTTAATTTGTCTTAAAAAGATTATTGTACTGATCATTATGAGGCAAGTTGGTATTAGCTTGGTATTGAAGTTGGATGGTATTGAACCTTAAGAAATATACCGCCAACCGTTTCACTACATGCTCTAGCTACTAAATTTTTGAAAAAGACTTTATCAGTTTCACTAAGTTATTTGTTGTATTAACAGTAACGGCTCAATGAGTATGTCACTGCCCAATCTACTGCCTCGGTTGCCGATGAGTTCCGCGTCGCTCAGCTCTCTGCTGCACCGCAAAGGCCAGCTACGGCCAGATCTGTCCTTCATGAGGTAAGCAATCCTAACCTACTAATATTATAAGTGAGAAAGTTTGGGTGGATGGATGTTTGTGACAAGTAAACGCAAAAAATACTAAACGTACAGGGTTGAAATTTGGAATGATGATAGCTCACATTCCCGATTAACATATAGACATATTCTTATCCCAAAAATCCTTTCGGGCTCCACCCTAGTGGCTCCGAAGTTTCCCATGTGAGTATTAACCTTATGAGTATATATTTAAGAGAATTTTGTAAGCTGTTTCAACTACACAAGTTGGTTCTATGATATTAAATAGCATTAAAAAGTTATAAGGTTTACCGACAGGGTGCAGCACTATTATATTTTTGTATTTACGACAACAGCTAATTTGAACCAACTAGCAACAAAAAGCTGTGGTACACAATGATAACTTTTTGATGGTTTAGGTGCAGTGTTGGAACATTATGGCTATGGTAGTATGTGCTATACTATAGCATACGGGATGAATTGAAAGAACCAAATTTTCATAAACGGTGTCCTCTCCCATTACTGCAAAAAGCATTTTGTACTTTTATGCCAACCCCATACAAAGGACTCTGCTAGTTTAAATCAAATAAATTTCACAAATAGTAATTCACTAAAATCATCTAGTGTCTTTTGAGACCATGTAGATTGTTTTATGGAGAGGCAAGAAAATGTGTTTAAAGGCTACGCACACAGGTGACGAGCCTGTAGTGTGGGTCTCCAACGGGTTTAAGACCCAAAGACTCCCCACTAAACACCTCCTCCACTAGGACACTAGCCTGGGAACACTTGGCGCACTTCATCAGAACTAGGCCGAGTCTGCCTAAGCCCTACTAAGGCTCACCCCTTGTCTAGCCATTCATTTATTACACGACCTAGACTTGCAATGCCATCTAGGTTGTTCTGACGTGTTTCTGAGTGTTTTGACTGTATGTTCTGTATGAAGTGCGACCAACAGTTTCAATTGTCCTCACCCTCAATCATGATCTCACAAACCGATTTTACCAACAGCTTGCCAAGGTGTCAAGTAGCCTCCCGGCAGAGCGAGATCATATGGATCAGAGACTCCTATAATCCCATGCTTCAATAGCTAATACAAATCCTCACGTTATAGTTTTGTTGCATGTAGTTAAGTTTATGAAAGATGACTGAATCTCAAACAGCCTTGTGTTGTGTTTACAGTCAGGGAGCCAATGGACTGCAGAAGTCTCGCAGGTCGAGAGACGGACAGAAGTTGTTTCAGTGCCGCTTGTGCCCCAAGTCTTACTCCTTCTCCTCCGCACTGAGTCGTCACAAGGCAGTGCACAACACTGAGCTGCGACCGCACATCTGCAACATCTGCAAGAAGGTACGTACAAACTGTCATACAGGAGTATCACTGGTCGAGGGACGGACAGAAGTTGTTTCAGTGCCGCTTGTGTCCCAAGTCTTACTCCTTCTCCTCCGCACTGAGTCGTCACAAGGCAGTGCACAACACCGAGCTGCGACCTCACATTTGCAACATCTGCAAGAAGGTACGTACAAACTGTCTTACAGAAGTCTCGCAGGTCGAGAGACGGACAGAAGTTGTTTCAGTGCCGCTTGTGTCCCAAGTCTTACTCCTTCTCCTCCGCACTGAGTCGTCACAAGGCAGTGCACAACACTGAGCTGCGACCTCACATCTGCAACATCTGCAAGAAGGTACGTACAAACTGTCATACAGGAGTATCACTGGTCGAGAGACGGACAGAAGTTAGTGCCGCTTGTGTCCCAAGTCTTACTCCTTCTCCTCCGCACTGAGTCGTCACAAGGCAGTTCACAACACTGAGCTGCGACCTCACATCTGCAACATCTGCAAGAAGGTACGTACAAACTGTCATACAGGAGTATCACTGGTCGAGAGACGGACAGAAGTTGTTTCAGTGCCGCTTGTGTCCCAAGTCTTACTCCTTCTCCTCCGCACTGAGTCATCACAAGGCAGTTCACAACACTGAGCTGCGACCTCACATCTGCAACATCTGCAAGAAGGTACGTACAAACTGTCATACAGGAGTATCACTGGTCGAGAGACGGACAGAAGTTGTTTCAGTGCCGCTTGTGTCCCAAGTCTTACTCCTTCTCCTCCGCACTGAGTCGTCACAAGGCAGTTCACAACACTGAGCTGCGGCCGCACATCTGCAACATCTGCAAGAAGGTACGTACAAACTGTCATACAGGAGTATCACCGGTCGAGAGACGGACAGAAGTGGTTTCAGTGTTGCTTGTGCCCCAAGTCTTACTCCTTCTCCTCCGCACTGAGTCGTTGCAAGGCAGTTCACAACACTGAGTTGCGACCTCACATCTGCAACATCTGCAAGAAGGTACGTACAAACTGTCATACAGGAGTATCACTGGTCATGGGACAGACAGAAGTTTTTGTCAGTGTTGCTTGTGTCCCAAGTCTCCTTCTCCTCCGCACTGAGTCGTCACAAGGCAGTGCACAACACTGAGCTGCGACCTCACATCTGCAACATCTGCAAGAAGGTACGTACAAACTGTCATACAGGATTATCACTGGTCATGGGACAGACAGAAGTTTTTGTCAGTGTTGTTTGTGTCCCAAGTCTCCTTCTCCTCCGCACTGAGTCGTCACAAGGCAGTGCACAACACTGAGCTGCGACCTCACATGTGCAATATCTGCAAGAAGATATGTAACAGTTGTAATAAAGAAAAAAAATAAATCAGGAAAATTACTTTTGGTTTTGTTAACTATAGGAAGAAACTTTCATGCGAGGTTTTTGGGTGAAAGAAAACTAAAAGCTTGAGAGTTTACTATGTCTAAATTAAGAATTCTAACCTACAACAATCCCACCTACTCTCGGAAGAGGTGCTTGAGTTTGAGGAACATAGGCTAATGTTTATCATTTGAAACTCTTAGCCCATTAGTCCATTACTACTTTTCAACTACAGAGGTTCCAAACCATCAAGGGACTTTGTAAAATTGTATTGTATTTGATCTACAACTTTGGATGTATTTTCAGGGTTTTGCTGACCCTGAGAAGCTAGAACGCCACATGAGGACTCATGTTAGTGATCAGCTGTTTCCCTGCGACATCTGTGGACGAGTGTTCAAGGCACTGGCGACGTTCGAGAGACACAAGTCAGTATAATAATGGATTTAATTTAATATTAGTATCTGAAATTGTAATCTTAACGGTAGCTTTTAATTGATGTTGAATCTGAATAACACAATGTCATTCTTAATTCTTCATGTAAACATCTCCTGCGGACGTATAGACGTTATCATCACCTCCCGCGGTCAAGGAAACGTCATCGTCCTCTTTCGGCAAAATCATCAACATCTCCCACGGTCACGGAAAAGTCATCATCGTCATTCGTGATCGCGGCAAAATCATCAACATCTCCTGCGGACATATAGACGTTATCATCACCTCCCGTGGTCACAGAAACGTCATCGTCGTCTGCGCGATCACAGCAAAATCATAACCAGCTAATAATATATCATGCATATTTCTCATCATTAATGACATGGTATATTAATGGTATCTTGATCTGGGGTAACTCTCCTTATTCAAAAAATATTTTTAAATTACAAAAAAAAATGTAATACGAATTATTGGCAAAGTTCCCCCTAGAACCCCTGGTAAAAACCTGTTTCAAAACTTTAAAGTTCTTACTTTTTACGATCACTATATTTTGGAAATAGCATGCTGGGTCCATAGAAACCTCTCCACTTTTATGGAGACCCAAACTCAACATAATTACAATACAAGAAAAAAGAATATTATCAAACCTGTTAAGTAGCTCATAATTTACAAATATTCGAGTCATCACCACAATACATTGGTCCAAAAATCTTAAATAACTTACCAACAAGTTTAATTTTACTCTAGAAAATCCCTATAAGTTTAGACTTTTTTTTAAAAGAATGGCTCAAGACTAAATCTTTTTTTTCATTGGCAGATTATTTTAAGGACTGCTGGAATTAGGTATAAATAAACCTTCCCACTCCTTCTAGCTCAATTTTTTGTCATGTAACAATGTTTTTTTTTTTTTGGAAGATTCAGTTGATTTTGTGTAGATACAGATGTATTAGTTTTATCTATTAGTTTTAAGTCTTTATTTAATCATTGACAATATGTCCTGTTATTATGACATGTAACTCAATAAAAAAAAAAAATAAATAAATAACATCTCCCGTGGTCATGTATACATTATCGTTGTCTACCGCGGTCGCGGCAAATATTTTAACTTCTCCCGCGGCCGTGTAAACATCATTGTCTATTCCCGCGGTCAGGGAAACGTCATCGTTGTCATGCACGATCATGGCAAAATTATAATTATCTCCCACGGCTGTGTAGACGTTATCATCATCTCCGACGATTACGGAAATGTCATCGTCATCATGCCCGATCATGGCAATAGCGGTTTCCAATCGCGCGATTTCGGGGACGTGTTTTAATTGCATTTTAAGTGTTTTTATTTATAACATTCCAGTAATCCGGCATTTTCACTAATCCGGCAGTATCACGATCCTATATCTGCCGGATTACTGAGAGTCTACTGTACTTTATTTTAGAAATCTCCAAACTAAAATTCTTGACTGTGGGTAACTTACCTATTTAAAAATTATTTAATTTATCATGATATTTCGATTAATAACCTAAAGTAATGCTGTTAAAGAAGTTAAAACAAATTTATGTTTTGTAGAGTTATTTTTGCAAGTTAAGGGGGCTAAGTGCAAATTTCCCTTCCTTATGGATCTATTTGGGTAAGAATTCAGTGAAGGAACAGGAGATTCTATTTGTGTAGGCTACAGCTTCTGTGAACGTCTTTCCCGGTCACAGCAAAATCGTGAAAGTCTTCTGGGGTTATGGTAATATTATCATCGCCTCCTATGGTGACATCGTGACGAAAACCGTAAACATCGCCTGTGATTCGCCTCAGCTCAAACCGACTTGAGCTCGTCCCAAGAATTATTTCTGGCCTGAAGTGATCCCTTGAGTCAATTGTTTACCCAACCTGACCCCAAATATTGGTAACTCCCAAACCCATAGTTTCCAATTAGCTTTTCATCAGTCGCACTAGCAAAGGTTTAGAGGTTGCAATGTTTCCTTTTTCTCAGGTTGATGACGCAAGGCAAATGTCGCCAGTTCTCCTGCGGCCTGTGTGGCCTCGGGTTCCAGAACAAGACCAAGTTGAAGCTCCACCCTTGCAAGGCGGCCCCGCACGACCGATTGTACCCGTGCCCTCAGTGTAGTGAGGTGCTTAACGGCAGAGACGCCTTCGAGGCTCACATCATCTCACATACTGGTGAGTGAAACATTGACCACAAATGATTCTTAGTAAATGTCTATGTTGAGGGTGGTAAATAAACAAATTAACAAAGTATGTCTGTTTCAACTTTCAGCGAATTTCCAAGTGAAGCGAGCCAATCGTGAAACTGAAATAAACATGTAAGCTCTTTGCCTTTTGCTTATGAGTCATTCATTGTGATTCCACTTTTAAATTGTGCGTTAAATAAAGCGTAACTAAAGAGATCTTACCTCGGGATAACTCTTTGTCTCGCTCTAACTTCCGGGCAGTTACCTTGCCTCTACTTGAGCTGAGCCAAGCTATATTTGTCCGAGGGAAGGCTCTAGGCCAGAATAGGCAACATTGCGGTTTTTTCTTTTATTTCTGATGACTGATAAACATGTTTGTTGCAGGCATGGCTGATAGATCGCTCAATGCACAAGCTATCTCTCTGATAACTACAGGGGACAACGATAGAAGATCCATCTGATGTCACTAAGTACAAGTTAATGTATATAAGGTTCTCAGGCTCTCTATTGTACACATTGTACATTAAGTAATGCGAATGTTGCTTCTAATTTATTTACAGTTACTATTGATTCTCGTCAGTAACAGCTGATGCCTGACTTGAACCAGTGAGAAACAAGGTATGTGTAGCATATGTCTTTGAGTAAGTAGTGAGAAAGTGATGTTGGATAAATGGCCATCAACTTAGTTCTGAGGTAATAGAATTAACATTGATTGCAAGGATTTGCTTTTCTCGGCTTAAGACGACTATTTAATACTGGTGCAGGTTGAATATTTTTTAAGTAAATCAGTTTACATACCTAATATATCTGCCTTATACAAGCCATATTTCACCCCTACATGTACTAACATTTTTTTTGTACATTTAATTGTAAGTACCTCATGTAGGGTTCATCATAACAAGAATGCTTCTGGATCAAATTTTTTGTGAGTTTTTTGATTTTTTAATTTGTGATATTTTTATTTTTTCTATATATATTTTTTTGACAATGCGTGTCGGAATGAATCAGGGTTACAAACAATTTATTTGTTTATCACGACATTACAATTTAGCGTGTAAGTGTGTATCTAATTTATTTTAGTGCTTTGCGGTGCCAGTATATTTTCGATTCGTGTTTGAGACATGTCCAAGGGCATTTAAATAGATTGACAATAATAAGTGTAAAGTTAATTTCATATGAGTCTGATACAGAAAGTATATTTATGATTTGGAAATTAATTACTTTTACCTCAGAGTATTTTCAATACCTCACATTGTTAATGTTATAAGTGAAGCAATAGTTTTTATACAAAACTTAGCGAACACATTAGACTGTTTATTGTATTGTGTAATATATATTCAACTTTTTGATTTTTGGCTGAGTTGCACATTCGCTTGGAGTACATTAGTTTTTCAACAAGCATTTTTTTATAGCAAAACTTTGAAACTCTGCTACAACTAGTTTTATGTGCTCGCTCGTGTAAAGCACAACATACCTCAAACAATACGTTTCTATCTCAGATTGAGCACATACAGTTATTGTTATATTGAAACTGTGCTTGCTGTAGCAATATTGAACAATCATTTTTTCAGTCACATTTTGTGATATAGTATTATGTTTATACTATATTTTACACATATCCCTGCAGAGTTTCCACTCATAAAACTTTCATTTTTCTGAAAATTATAATTTCTCTGTCTTTTAATATTTGACTATTTGGACATTTATTGTTACTCGGCTCCTGTATTCGTATATACATTACTTCTGGCTAGGCCCAGAGGTTGCGGCAATATCACTTGGTAAAATATATTCGTGATTGGTGGTTTTATCCTCGGGGACACTCCAGCTCTCTCCCGATTATTTGACCCAGTGTTTTGTATTTAATTAAAGTTACCTTCTTTGCAGCTAGTTCTATAAAAATACATGCCTTTTTAGTAGTCAGAAGGCGGTCTCTCTCTACATCATTTTAATATTAATTTTATAACTTTAAAAAATACTCTAGAGATGTATTTACACTTGAAGTGTATTCTTATGTTCAGTAAATACGCAAAAACATTTTTGTTGGTATCTTTTTTGTGATTTTAAATATGTGATATTATAATAACCAGTGGGACTTTTAGCATCATGAATCACGCCTAATAGATAACAACTAGTGCACCTGTTGCTCGAATTAGAGCAATTGAAAAGTATAACAGGCATTATTTCAAAACGAATAACAGTAATAATTTCCTATGTAAAAGAGTCAACTCCAAGATGATGTAGTCAATCACTCCACTCCAGTTATTGAAACTGAAAACGAAGGCTTTTGTGTGTTATCATGTGTTTACTATGAACAGCTGTAATTAATACCAATTATTCGTCTGTTTAAGTAAACAAAATCTTTTCTTCATAAGAAATACATTAGGATTTTGATGTCCTGTGGGGCAAACAAAGCCCGAGGACTTTTATTACAGGAATTGGTGAAAGGGGGTGTCTACACAAAAAATACTTCATTTTGACACGTAGTTTGTAAAAATCAGTTCATTATTAACAGAGGAGTAGTGTTTCGTAAAAATCGCCTTCACGTATTGTCCATGAGGGTTTGAGCTAGGTCAATTTTTGATCACGCGAGTGGAAACTCTGTAGACTCCTGTGATCACTCGACCGCCACGTGCCATATCAACGGTTTATACATTTTGGGCATTAGCTTATATTGTGTGTCTATTAAATGCTCAATATATGAGAAAGATGTGCTAGTATTGCTGTATTTTGTATACTGATTTACATAATTGCTCACTGTTACGGACTATAAAAAAATTTAGTTGTTTGTTTTGTGGTAGTTTTTTATATCAATGATCTTTGGGAATATTGGTTGTACAGGCTGTGTTGCTAGCTGGGTGGTTATAATGCTTGACTAGTAATCATAAGGTTGCCGGTTCAATCGTAAGAAAAGTTAGCATCTTTTTGATGGGTTTGAAACTGGAGCCAGCTGGCCTTGATCATTGGGCTTTTTATAAAATTGTAGGATAAAACAGCTGGTCTTAGTCAGCAACAAAGCTCTAGAATGCTTGTAAAGATCTGCTCCACACTTATTATTCACACACGTTGTCGCAGTTGCTGCTAACTTGCTGTTTGCTATTTTGAATAGTGATACAAAATACCAAAATGCTCGTTACCACAGCTCCGTACAATAGTGTACAACCAATAAGTATGTTTTTTTCCGATAGAAAATGTGCCGTGTAACATCAGTTTAAAACCATTGATCTTATTTTTGCAATAATATTGGTTGAATATTTTGAATTAGTGTAGTTATTGTCAGACCAATACCATGAAATATAAATTGTAGCGTTCAAGATGTTTATAGGCTACTCTATAATAAAATAAATGCAATCAACAAATAACAATTCAAGATTATGAAATTAAATTATTTCAATTTCAGCCCTTTTGAACCCTGTTTTATTTTTGCTAGTTTTTTGTCTGGGAATTTATAAGAAATTCATACAGCAAAAACTATTTTATTACGTTTGCTTTTTAGTCAGACACTTCGGCTCAATAATTTGTCCCCTTTGACGATTTATTGTTTATTGTAATGGATTGAACCGGTTTACATAGAAACTTAGGCAAGCCAATTGGGGTTGAAGTTCATTGTACCTCACACAAGGTACATTTTGGGAGGAACAGTTTGTTTGTACCAATGATATAACTACAATTAGCCGAGTCAAGTCTGCAATAGTTTGGCTACAATTTTCAATAGTTACTTTTATTTTTCTCAGAAGTTTTTTAAAGTAACAAATTGTTTGATATTTTAGTAGTTTTCAAATTTACAGGGTAATTTTTTGTCTTTCATCCCACATGACACACCATTTTATTGGTGACTTTAATTTATTAGAATATTATGCTATTTATTTATTGGTAACTATCATAGCCCAGCTTTTATATCTCAGGGATTGTGGGCTATTGTTCTATTTGTGTCCTGTTTATATGTTAAATTAAATTATTACAAATAATGTATCTTCTAGATGAGGTAATATTTATTTTTTTTATATGTGCTAGACAAATTTGTTGAAACAAACTTCAAAATCAGTATTACTGTTCCTTCTGTGAACATTGTTTACTTTATACCTGTTTATTTAATACTTATAGTGCTGTATTTACAAATTTCAACTATTTTTTGTTATTTATTTAATTTATTTACAGTATTTATGGTACCGTATTTCTCTATTATATTTAAATTCACTCATACTTATAAGACTAGTTACTTAAATTGTTTGTGACTTGTGTGTAAAATTACCAGAAATGATATTTTCAATAAAAATCACGTGCTCTTAAAAAATGCTCATTATGTGGTGTAAAAATGTTCTTTTCTGTTTAAATTAGAATTGTATATAATTTAGCTGTGTAAAATAACAATCGATATATTTTTCAATACAATATCCCCGTGTATCGCAGTATTTTTCTATAAGTAGACCTAGATATAGGCATGAAATGGTAGCTTTGCTTGCATTGCAGCTGATTTAGTTCTAGGTATGTTAAAGCAGGCAATAAGTTTAACAGGGTCGTAACATGACAATTTGTCCGTAGAATATTGTACTAAATATTAACTGAAACAAATATATTTTGTACAAAGTGAATGTTAACGTAAGGTTGTGTTCCAGTTATTTGCTTGCCAGCGATTACACTCCTTCTGGTGAATTTATTTTGTTATTGTTACAGTATGTCTATTAGACTTGTAGGTTTGTTTAGTCAGTACAGTAGAACCTCAAATGTAATCCGTCATGGGATCATAATATATGCTGGTTGTGAAGTAAAATAATAAAACTTAGTTAATTGTATAATGCAAGTTTAAGTAGTTGTATTGTAATATATAAATTGGTAAAAACTCTTTGCAGTATTTGAAAAGTCGTTGGTCCTTTTATGTCCTTGTGTGCCAAGAGTAAAAACTCGAGCTTTCACTAAACCCCCAGACCCCAAAAACGTCTGTCACTATGTATATTAAAGCATATATATATATATATATATATATATATATATATATATATATAGTGTATAATATTTGTGTATATTAAAGCAAGAGAAATCCAAGAAAAACCCTAAGAGTATTTAGATCCTGGATCATTGGGGTTTTAATAAATGGTCCTGGATAATTAAACAGCTGATCTTAAACAGTAACAAATTTACACAAGAAATATATGCCAATTTATTCTAAACTCATCCTTTACTCATATTTGGGTTAAAATACTTATCTAGTTAGTGTCCCCATCTAAGTTGGGGTTTTTTGCCCCAGGACTCTAGCTCTGGATCGTTTTTCACATAACTTCAGGCTAGATCTAGGGGTTGCGGCATTATTAGATAAAATCCATTGGTGATTTGGCAGGATTTGAACCCAGTACCCCAGGGACCGAAGTCTCACGCTCTACCACTAGACCATCAAGCTCCCCAATTGAAATTGGCAATGTTAATACCTGAATCGTGATTTGGACTTCTTATTTTTCTTCAATGCAGTTGCAAAATTCCTTATTAACTAGTGTACCTGTTGCTCGAAATTGAGCAATTGTCAAGTACTGGTATTATACAGAAGTTATTTTAAAACTATAGTAATAACAGTAATAATTTTCGATGAGTTTAAAAGTCCCAACTAAATGCTTATGCAACTAATTGAAATACTCACGCTATTTAATAGCACTTTGAAATAATAAACGCTTCTTGTAAAAATATTTTAGCATTTTTTGGACCGGCCTTATTTTTTAGTGTTTTCTACAAATATTTCCCGACTTAAGAGTCTTCCGTAGTGGAAGCCATGTTGGATTTCTTCCCCATAAGAACAATGTTAACTTTGGGTCCAAATATCTCATCAGCAAATTGTCATATAATTATGGATAAGGAGTTAAATTTAAGAAGTTGCGGTCCTCTAGAGATTGGCGTTTTTTATTTCACAATTTTTAATTTTTATAATGAATAATTGATTATTAATTAGCTTAAAATTAAGCTAATTATTGAAAGGAAATGAAAACGGATTTTTGAAATTCAAAAACCTCAGTCACGAGTCTATTATGTTCAAAATACAAATTATAAATTTCAAAGCTATATCTTAACAAATAACGCCGTTACGTGTCCACAAATGATGCAATTTTAACATTGTTCTTATGGGGAAGAAATCCAACATGGCTTCCACTACGGAAGACTCTTAAAGCTGTTACCAGTAAACATTTCTTGCATGTATTTATTTGATCTGACTTTAGGTAGGTTTACTTTACCACTGTGACAACATGATGTGTATATTCTTCATGGTTTTTTTACTTCCAAAATAAGTTGCTTAGCATAACTGGCAAAAATGATTCATCTCCCCAAGTGATTGTGTACTTGGATTCCTTACTGTGAGACCAGGCCTCTCCTCTACTCTTCTCATATACATATAAGATTTCCTATTAATTGTCTCCTCCTCCTGTTCAATATTTCTCCTTTAAGCTCCAGAAATTTTCTGTTCTTCAAACAAAACTGATTGACTGTTTAGATTTGTCTATAACCTCCTAAATATTACAAACATCAATATTTACTCCCAAAAAACTGGTGAGTTTTTTTATATACAGCTGACTTTGTTTTTAAATTTGTTTTCAATATAATTCTTATAGGAAAATATGACCTTTGAGAGCGTCTTGTGCTCTTAAGGATAAGACGTTAAAATCGGTCCAGAAATAACGAAGGAGTTTCGTTCACAATAAACAGCCCTCACGTATTAACATAAGAGATTCTGAAAACAATAAAAATCAGTGATGAAAAATAGTTTGATTATTGTTGAGGTTCTACTGTACTTTTACATGCTCAGGTTGGTCCATAGTCCAAATATATTTAGTATTTACCTCACGTTTACAAACAGTCAGTTACAAGTGTTGTCCGTTAACAGCCAGTGTTTGTTGCCATAAGTGCAATTCTCAAGGTTTTCACTCAGGGCTTATCTAATAAAATTTCTATATCATCCGCTTTGTATTTATTTTTTTACGTTTAACTATTGTAAAACTTCAATTTTTTATGTTTTTTTTCCGAAGTGTGTTTAATCTACTCCATTGAAGTGTATCATATTCTAACATAGTTGAGTAGGTTTTTGCTTCGTAGTCATACTAGTTTAGATTGAATGTAGGCGTGTCATTTTGTATATTTTACAATAGTGGTATTTTTACGTTAGAAATGCTGGACGTGAAGTATTTTTGTGGGATTGTGACAAAAGGTTTTTAATGATTTTTCCATTACTTTCTTCCTCTTTATGTTCATTTGTGGAGTAAGTAGTGATAGGATAAAAAGTATTGAGTATTGAGTGCAAA